ATTAGTAACTTAGTACATTTAGTCTTACAAGTAACAACAAACCATATGATGTCATATGCGTCTTTCTAACACTATCCAATGACTTTCTATTCAAGTCTCCCACTAAATATGAGAACTTCTCTCACTTTTTCTCAAACGCTAATGCAAGTGTTAGGATTTTCAATCACTAAACCCTAGTGATTAACCTCAATCACAATTATGAGAAATGTTGAATCTTACAAATTAAGTAGATAAACCTATTATTCCAAGTTACTGCTACATATTGGTGTACATAAAACAAGAACTATTTTGAACCCAAAACTCTATAGATCTTCAATGTATGATTCGTGTCTCCAAAGCTAGGAAAGAGCTCCTTGTATAGCTTAATTATTTTAGGCATTTCTTCATGGATATTTGATTTGATTTCGTCCAGAATTGATGTAGAATCAATTGGATATTGTTCGTTCCTTAATCTCTTCAACAAGATATTATTTGTTTCAATTTAAGTTCAAATTTAAATTCAAATTTAAATCTCCATTTAAATTTCAATTAATATTTATTCATATGTAAACAAATCACCTTATCATATTGTTAAATACATAATAATAAAATCTTTAACAAATCTTATGCAGAACATACTTCAAAACACATCAGTCTAGTTTACCGAGCAAAGGCCCAGATGTCGTACCACATGATGAGACATCGTGTCTAACATGTGTTCCTTTTGCAATTCCATACAACTTAAGCTAGCTAGAGCAACTTGAACACTTCTTCGTATTGTTGTTTAACACGATATATGTTAGATGTAGAGAATAAACAACGAAAAAAATATAAGTTACATAATTATAAAGAGATATGGTAATAAATAATTTACCCGAAATATTATCTTGGTTCGTCCTTAAACCATGCGGCCTACTCCAGTCCCCAAGAGTTTTTGCTTGACGTTTCCACTTGTTTCTGATAAACACTTTTGGATAATCTCCCCGATGCAAATAAGTTGAGATCTCAAACGTATTGTATTTAGGGAGTTATTTCTTGGCTTTTATGCTGTTGTGTTCGTTGAGTCCCTCTTCATCAATGAGAGGCCCTTTTATACTCTACTTCAGGCACTGCATTCATTAAGAGGTGACCCTTCAAGTCTAACGATTAAATAGACATAGTAACGTCTATCATCACAATCATGTGTGTGACGTCTTATTTACTAATTCTCATAATCCATAGAACTACCTGTAACCGTCATACCGATTTCACTATTCGGCCCTTTGGCTACATGCATAACTCGAGGATATCTCTCTGAGAACCCCAAATGCCGACTTCTTATACCGGCTCGAATTCCCCTACATCTCACGAACACCCGCTCGACTATTAGTCTTTTTAGAATACTCGAAGTATGTGATATATCATTATAGGCCTTAACAATCTATACCTCGTCTTTGAGAATTTCAGGTTGTACATAAGCCCCCCGATCATGAGACCCAATGGGGCGATATGTTTCTGACAAAGAATCACTTAATTCTTCTAGTTTGTGCGACCATTGATCTCGTTTGTTTTAGATTGTTTCTGATGTGAGCTTACAACTTGATAGCGTGTCACAATGGGTTTTTAATACTCATGATTACAGGTATATTTATTAGATTTCTTCTCTCTCCTAGTCATGATGATTCTTCATGGGGAAGTCAATGCCATCATGACTCTCATAGGATAGGGTTCTCACAGCCGTTTCAAATACTTAACTTTAAATAGGGTTTCAATGTTCCTATCACTATCGCTTATCGTTTCTGATCCCTTTCTTAATCCTATTTTCAAAGCTTTGCATTGCGCCTTCTACCAGTTTGCTAGCAATGGAAAGTCTCAGGTATTCTTCTTCTATTTTACTCATTTTCTACTTAGCTTTATCATGGTTATCATACGTGAGTGGGATGATTCAGGGAACGCGTCGATTACCCGAAACACCCAAGAGAGAAAGAAACCATGGGATGAATGCATGAAAGAGTGTGATGGCCACTATGAGGAAGTATAATTTTATCAGATTATTAGGGAAGTCTTGGTGATATTTTTTTACTTTGTAGTAAAACTGACTCAAAGTCTTCATCATCAGGTTCTGTGGAATTCGTGATAGATATGGTCGGATCCTATCAAGAGGTTATAAGTTATGACCATATAATGATTGATGCCAGTGAAATTTCTAAACTCCGGTCCAACATGCACATTCTTCCACTGCTAACAAAGAAGATGTCGTGTTGGAACCTTGTGTGGCTGGCGAAAGAGTTTGCATTACTCGACTAAGAGGTGTACCTGATGAACTTTTTTATTTCTATTCTAGGGTTATATAGGATTTCAAGATTCATATCCCCTTTACCGACTTTGAAGTCGACCTCCTTAAAACCCTAAGTATTTCCCCTTCTCAATTACGTCCAAAATGGTTAGGGTTTTATTAAAGCCTTTAAAAAGGGGATGAACATAATACTTACTCTAGGGTTTTTCTTTTCTTTCTTTGAGTTAAAAGAATCTACCAAAGGTGGTTGGGTTTCCCTTAATGGAATCCACGGAAGGATTTTTCTTCGAGCTTACACCACCAATTATAAAGGTTTTAAAGATAAGTTTCTTCGGGTAAAAAGCGGAACCATATGCTCTTAATTTATGTATGCGATTGATGGGAGCCATCGCTTCCCGATTTATTGGACGAACAATCCATTACCAGTGTCCAACTTTGATCATGATAAGCTAGTTTTTTTGGAGGTCCAACTATTAGCTGTTCTAGATGCCTTTCGGGTGATAAATGTTAAAGACTTAATGAACATGGTCGATGACCAGGATCAAGTCTCTAACTACTTGGGTAATGTTTATATGCCTTTTATTGTATTCCAAAGGACTTCCTTATGTTCATTTTATAAATTCATTTCATATTTTTTGTTGAGCTAAAAGGACGAGTATCAAGCTGAAGGAGTAGAAAAAATTGATGGTTGAAGCAAGGGCAAGATAGGGAGAAAATTTTGTCTTGAAGTCCAACCTGATTGTTATTCAAGGAAGGGAGGTTGAAATTTGGAGAAAATAATAGAAGCCAGATGAAATTTGATTATGACTCTCTCCATGTAGTAGAAATCAATTATGCTGAATCTGCATATGTCCACATGCTGGAAGTTGGTGGCTTTGACATTAACCAATACCCTAAAGACAAGATCACTAAAGATTTTGTTGCAGGAGTCGAAGCAAAGGAAGCTATTGAAGGCCTTTCCAACATATTGGAAAAATTAATGATGATTTTGTTGTAGGTATTGAAGTGTAAAAGACTATTGATGGTCTGGCTAACCAGGATGTCGGAGGCAAGATTACTCATGATGTTGCCACAAATGCTGGAATGACGAAGGCCACTGAGTGCCTCAGGATCAAGTTTGAGAAGGTCAGGATTACTGAAGGTCCTAACCTTGAGGTTAACATAGAGGACTTGAATTAGCCTTGTTGTACCCTAATTTTTTCCCCTAAGATCCCTTTATCATACCGTGTTGATTCAATCACAACAAGATCACATTAGGGCTTTTGTTTTTTCTACCTATCTTTAGTTTTTCTATTATAGGAATCACCAAACACCTTGACTTGTTTTCTTTTGTGATCATGAATATTTTTTCTTATTTTTCCTTTGAATTAATAAAATTCAATGTTGGTTTGTCTTGCTTATTACAAATGTAGGTAAAGACAATGAGGCTTAGCAAGTTGCTCCATGGGTTCATGAGTTTATTTCCATACCCTAGTTAATAAAGCTTGAGAAGTTTAAACCTCACCATTGGGGTCATTTTGGGAGAAATGTCATGGCAAGGTTATTTTGGTTCACCACATTTAAAGATTATCAAATTTGGTTCAAAATTACAAGGGGTTGATTGGAGAAGTTGTCATGCTTGGATAAGGCTTTGTTCCCATTGGTCATAAATGCATATTTCTCTTAATTCTCAAGATATGGATGTGGTTTTGGTGACTATGGGTTTTCATTTTTGTAACACCCCGTTTTTTGATTAAATGTTAATTCGGTTATTTGAAATAAAAATATTCATAATGATAAAATACTATTTTGAGTAATATTATTTTGGTGTGTATTTGGCTTCGTTTGATTTATCGGTATAATTTAGTTTTTATGGAATAAATATTAATTAAATGTAATATGGTTTTAATAGAATTATATGATATAATTTGAATTAAATAATTGTTGGGGCCAAATTATAATTTTAGAAAGATAGAGGGAGGAAAGTTAGTAGTAGAAGGATAGTTTTATAAAATAGAAAAGGAGAGTTAGTAAGAGTAGTTGGTAAGAAGAGAAAGAAGAAAGAAAAGAAGAGAGAAAGAGGAGAAGAGAAGAAAGGAAG